TATTGTATGTACCACCTGCATGCAATAATCCTGTAAGAATGAATTGGGGTTTTTTTTCAAAGGGCAGACAAAGACACTAAAGGGTGATGAAAGGAACGGTGGATACATGTAATATTTTGGAATCATTCATTACTTTGGCTTTTATCTTTACAGTCAACAAGCAGCAGCCTGGGTAGCAACCAACAAAAATTATTGTATCACAAGGTTAGAGCTCTTTGTCAGACATTACTTACTGTCTGCACACTTTTTAACAATATATACTGCTGTGGTGAGTTTATACTTGACTTGTTTTCTGCTTGGCCGTCACCTAAGGATTTACATCCCTGATAAGCAGAAGGAGTCTCAGTGTCTGTTTAACGTCTCCCATTACAATGGCCTGTGTGTGTGGAGTATAAGGCCCATCTGTAGTGCACATGCATACAACTGAGAAAGTGACACTACTCTTACTAATGTGATATGATTGAAATATGTGATTAATACATGAGAAAAGAAATCTGCCACCACAGGGTGTACCTTAGGTAAATAACTTTCACAACCTGAAAATTAAAACTATTTAAGAGGTGTAATCTAATCTCCTTTGTTTTATATATTTTCTAAATTTAAAGATATTAGAGATACAAAACTTAACTTAAAGACATAAATCAAAGCCTCAAAAGAAAATCTTTATATTTTTAAACATGTGCCTTATTTTGCCATTTTACTGGGCTTAAAACATGCTTTAAATCAGCACAATGGTTATGAAGCGTAAGAGTAAGAGTAACCCGCATGGAAATTGCCCTCGTCAAGGTAACATTGTTTTTGCCAGAGACATTCGCAGATTATATTCTGCAGAAGTCTGGAACTACATTTAATAGTGCCTGTCATGCTACTGTGTATACTGGAGCACTTTTCATCAGGAAAATGTGCTTTTCATGTAGGATTTAGCCTCCTAGTTAATTGGCAGCAGACAATACTTACTGCAAACAACAACGTTTCCAGGTTCAGCACTAGCCTGTCTCTGAAAGCCAAGGGTAGTCATTGTGTCGCCACTGTGTGGAGATAAATCATATCACACATCCAAAACAAAGAAACACATAAGTGTGTGATTATTAAAATAAATGTCACAATGTGACAGCCATACTCATGACTTACTGGGCTCCTAGAACTGTTTATACAAAAACAGACCACCTCCTTATGATGCCAGAATATTTTACACTTCCTTTTTATTTATGTTGGTTGTTGATGAGGTATGGTGGGACTTTATGCAAATAATTTATCAGCATGCTCAACAATACAGTAAGACAAAGTATTGCACAAGATTGTACAGCTGCTTGGTGTCAATTATGTTGTTCATTCTACAAAAATAACTTATACTTTCAGTCTTTATGTGACAGCTTGGTTTGTAAGGAGTACGTCAGACCTATTCTTGGTGGTAGTAGCAGAGCTGCCGTTTGTCACTGGTTTTTAGGTGGGGACGAGTGGCAGATAGTTTCTGGTTTGGTGGCCTCAACATCACCTCTGTCCTTTGTGCCAATGATCTGATGGTTTCGTCAGTAGCTGACCTCCAGCCTGTTCTGGAGCAATGTGCTGGCAAGTGTGAAACGAGCGGGACAAGAATTAGCACCCTCAAGTCAGAGGCCATGGTTATCTGTCAGAAAAGTGCCCGCTCCGAGTCAGAGGGGAGTTGGTCCCCCAAGTGGAAGAGTTTAAGCACGGTGTGGCAGTTGGTAATTTGTTAGGGGTTCAGAGAAGAGCTGCTATCCCTCCGCATCAGTTGCCAGCCGTTTGAGGTGGCTCAGGTATCTGATTAGGACACCGTCTAGGCGAGGTGTTTCAGACATGCGCTACTGGCAGGAAGATTTTTATATGGCACTCTGTAAATAATATTGAATTGAATTAAATATTAATATTAGTTTCATTTTCACATTTTTGCATTCAGAGGGAACAGGGTGTATCTAAGGTCTCAGTCAACACTTTTGTAGCAACAGAAAGCCCGAGGTTTCAAGGGCTTTTGGAAAGGAAGTATAAATCCTTTTTTAGTTTATGGCTTAGGAAAAGGAGAGGCTAGTTCATTACCATGAGGATAGGAAAAGCTCTGTGAAACGCATCTGACATAGCAACTAGTTTTAGCTATTCTTGGCCAGCCTTGAGGAAATGATGCTCCAAGCTTTGTGTATTTGAATTTCCAGTTTGACATCCTCCCCCATTAAATGCATTCATTCAACACTCTGCTCTCATCTACCAAAAGGCTTGTGACTGAAGTTCCTGTCAACAAAAACACAAGCGGCAGCTTGTGTAAATTATTACAACGTGGCAGAATCAGTGTTGCCAACTCCTCAGTAAGGAAAATCGCTATTGGTTGTCCTAAAAGTCGCTAGAAGTCGCTAAATGACGTCATCACCTAATTTGCATAATTGGTCATTATTATTGGTCATGTTATCACGAAATAACATCGTGGACGAGACATAAAATGAGCAAAAAACGTCCTAAATGCATTTAGAATTTATTTAGAACTACAAATTAAATTTCTTTTAGCAATTATTGTTTTTTGTAATGTCTTTCACGTCTTTTTTTAGGGGGTCTGAAAACTCGCTAAATATAGCGACAAAGTCGCTAAGTTGGCAACACTGGGCAGAATGTTGGAGGCATAACTCATAATTAACTTTTGCTGAAGAACCACAGCCTGAGCATTCTGTTCGAGGACGTCGTCTATTCCCACACCCTGTCTTCCACTTTTTCCACTATTTGGGTTATTTGCGTGCTCCTTTAATTAACGTGATAATGTCTGTCAATCAAAACCCGGTAACGTGCCAGCAAAGCAGCTGCTGCCTAAGCTGATTTGTCTTTCTTGCCAACTTACTTTACATGTATTTAACACTTAATGATCAACAAAATCTGGAAACCTTGTGGGATTTGAAATGTGCTCCAATCCTCAGTTAGCCTGTTTCATCCGTTCCATCTGCCTGATTATGTTTTGCAATCACAAACCTCTAGATTTTGCTTCTTTGGCAACTTTTAAAATAAATGTCTACTCTGATGTCCAGCAGCACAAATGGACATTTGTTTACATTACAGGTTTTCTTTCAATTGTTTACCTTTTTTCTCCAAATTGGTCTATTTTCACTGAAATACACTTCCTGTAGGTGCAAGGATTTTTGGACAGTGGCACTTCTTGTATTTTTGCTTCTATACATTTACCACAATGGCTTTTAAATCAAATAGTCAAGATGACACTGAAGTGCATTCAACTTTAATTCAAAGAGCTTTACAAAAGTATCACACTTGGACACTTGGGAGAGATGCATGAGAGGGTCACAGCAAGTCTCAAAATGGTGGTGTGTTACACAGCTTTTTATACGTTCTACTGGCCCCCACCTGGTCGTAAACCTAAACATTCACAGTCCCTTATCTGTCATGGCGCCTAAGTTATGACCTCGGGCTCCCTGTCTTTCTACCCCCTACAAGGGTGGGGGCACAGAATGCTGTCTGCTTTTGCTGTTACCGGCCCCAAGGTCCTTCGCACGCAACATTCTCAGAAATGATTTGAGCAGTCTGACATGACAAGAAAACAGTGTAAAACATTCACAGCAGATAAATGGCGGCGCCCACCTGTCTAACAGAACCCAAAGATGGTCACATTCTTTTAATCCCCAAAGATATACTGGAACATTTGTCTAACATACTACAAAGCTGGTCATGTTCTTTAACCTAAAAATATAAGGAAAACTAAGCTACATACTTTGCACACAACCTAGACTAAGGAATATATTTATGTTCTACATCTGTTTAACATAATTCGTCTACCTTGACTCTGGGTATAAGATAACATAGTTTGAATAATGATCTCACAGAAAACAGAATGAAACACAAGGACAACAAGACACCCTGTGTTTTGGGTCATTATCCATTTGCTCTGAAGTCCTGTCCTCCGTGTTTGACAGCCAAATCCTGCTTCTTCTATCAGCAGTCAAATTATCAATAAACCCTAATGACCTGGTTCCACTGGCAGCCATACATGCCATAAGATATTTTATAGATGATGCAGAATGCTGCATCACCTACTCCATACTTTTCTCTTCCCATCATTCTGGTGCCAGTTCATTTTGTTGATCTTTGTGCATTTTCCCCCCTGAATTGTGGAGACCCTTTTAGCTGTTTTTTCACACAGGTTAATGTAGGTTTGAATTTCCCCCCTTAATAATGAAAACCTTAATTTAGTGTTTATCTTTGTCTAATTTTTACATTTGTTTGTCAATCCGAAACATTTTAGTGTGACAAACACAAAACAAATAAATCATGAAGGGAACAAACACACTATAGATATATGCAACACTCCTCACTGTACTGTATTGCTAATACCTACCTCAAAATAGCAATACATATACATGGTTAAGTGTAGAGATGAGGACAGTCACACAGTTGCTTGTAAGGCAGTGAGCCCTTCTTTTTTGGTTGAAACCACTGTATCTTCACCTACTTTATGAAAATAAAACTCTTGGTGTCAAGTAAAACTGTGATTTACTAACAACACACTTTGTAATTTTACAATTTTAGTTTGCTATTATCACCATTTTTTCCTCCACACACACAGGAAACTTATATGAAAGCGAGTGACAAGAAGGTGCAAATTAAAAGCATCTCTGAAGAAGACACGAATAGCTGAGAAATCCCAAAGCACAGGAAAAAGATTTGTTTTGTTTAACTCTTTACTCAAGAGCAGAGCTTCTAACACTATCCTACATTCTGATGCATTGGCATCTGTAACAGACTCTTACAGTATGACAAATATTATGTATTAGATGCTTGACATGAATGGCATTCACTTTAAATTAACTGGTTTTAGTGATGCTTGCATCATTGGAGAAGATGAACCCCTGCCAATGTACTGTTGCAGCTGGTAATGAAAAGTTGTCATATGTCTGAACAAAGCCTGCAACACCTCTACTTCTCTTTGTTCTAACTTAAATTTTTCTCTGCTTGTTGCCATTTTATTTCCTCTGCAGTGTTGACTGATATCAAGGATGGATATTCTGGACATTGTGGACGAAGACGAGATGGCACTTGAGGGCTCAAACATTACATCCATTGTTTTAAACACCAGCCTAGATGGTGTATCCAATGTCACCAACATTACCTTTTCCCCTTACTATCAGCACTCTCTGTATGTGGCTGCCATCTACACCCTGGCTTACTCCTTCATCTTTCTGCTGTGTATGGTGGGTAACATCCTGGTGTGTCTCATCGTACTGGAAAACCGTCGTATGCGCACGGTCACCAACCTCTTCATCCTCAACCTGGCTATCAGTGACCTGCTGGTGGGGATCTTCTGCATCCCTACAACACTGGTGGACAACCTCATCACAGGTAATACTGAGCTTGTGACTAATGTACATGCGGCCGTATCATTGTTAATTTGGACCTGAGTGCAGATGTGCATTTCAATTCAGTGCAATGTACCATTTGGATGCATAGCATAATCTCAGAGTATTCCGATAAGCAAATGGGTCATTCCATTTTAAATCACAGGCCTTATTGTCGATCTTCTCAGATTTGCAAAAGAGTTTGAACATATAGCTAATACTTACTTAGCACTTAGTTCCTCCTACGCCGGGCGACGCATCGGGCAGCTAGTGATCTCCATCAATGTCGGTCAGCAGCGACTGCTTTAACTTCGTCCCAGGCAATGTCGACAGTTCTCAGATCGTCCATGAATGTTCGACGCCATGTGGTCTTTGGTCGGCCTTGCTTTCGCTTGCCAGTGCGTGGACACCATGTCATGGCAATCTTAGCTGGGCGATGAGGGGGTAGGCGTAAAATATGGCCCGCAAAGCGGAAGCGCCTTTCTGTAACAACATCGGCTAATGGGTATAGCTAATACACATGAAGCTAAAATTTTAGCTTTATATGTTTACTTTTCAATGTGTTTTGAAAAATACTCAGCTGACCAACATTTCAGGCCTTTTTTCCCACAGAACAATGTCTGAGGCGATGTTTGAAAGTAATTTTCATTGGTCTTTCTTACAATCAAAATTCTATGATTTAGAGCAGATTAATTTTTAAAAAATATCTCGATGTTACTAGTGAAAATTTCTGAAAAGTATGTAGTTATACAGTGGTCCCTCGATTATCGCGGGAGTTACATTCTAAAAATAACCCGTAGGTGCCTTTGATGGTGCAAAATGTTTCATTGACATTGTTGGGTTTGTTGGGAAGAAAACAAACATACAGTACAGCACTTCAGAGTCACACTGCTAGCGATCAAAGATTTATGTAAATTTGAGAAGCTGAATGCATTCTGTACTGTACAGGAGAGACGGCATGAGATTGACTGACAATGGTCTACGGACAAAAGGACTCAGAACACAATGTGCTGTAAAAACAAAACAAAAAAACAAAAAAACATGCAAAATTGCACAAAAAAAATCAGTGAAACAGCGAGGCCGTTATAGCGGTCCCTTGTTACAGCGAGGGACCGCTGTATTTGCAATTTTGTGAAATAATACTATACATCATTCAGAAATTGTCTTTAGTTGTCATCAAACACAAAAAAATGAGTACATGCATCAAAACGTTTACCCATCTGGAACAACCCTGACATCTTACAACACAATAATATGACAAACGTCCCAGATTAGGGTTGTTAAGGAATTAAATACTTGGAACGTATATTCAAAGTAACAGACTTTTATCCATTTGGCAGAAGAATATTAGAATATGAGATTAACAAGAATATATTTTTGGACTATCGATAGTCTAATAAAAGAGTTTAAAAAAAGGCATTTAAGCAAAATCAAGTCAAACTACAAACAGGTGTGGTGCAATTCCTTAATTTCAAAACCCCCACATTACTGTCTAAAAGATACAGGACACTCAAAAATAGATGAATCAATATCCCTTCTATTGTGAAATCTATCAGTCAGCTTAGACCACAACTTCTGGCCTCAGAAATGCTTAAAAACCTTTAAAATGACCAATCTACAATTAATTCAATACAAAATCCTGCATAGAGTCAGGTCAGTGGTTGTCCAGGATTGGTTTTGTGTCATCTAACACCTGCTCACGTGGTCAAAGCAATTTGCCTACAATTACATCCACCCTCTTTGGTTCTGTCCACCTGTTCACAGGTTTTGGTGCAAGATATGTGAAGACTTATCGAAGAGTCTGAAATGTTCAGCCTCACCTTTCGTTTGCTTGTTAAGTGACCTAGATGATGTCACTGTGGAGATGAACACGTGGTTCTCACTGTCTTATGCATTGCTAAGAAGACTGTGGTCATGAACAGGGAAAATAAAAATAATCTTGGTATTAACCAAAACAGAGACCTTTTGTTTATACATATTAATCTTGAGACAGCCTCTGCCTGTGGTGGGGACTGTGGCTTTTGATAACATGGTTCAGCTCAAGTTGGCTGACTGAACTTCTTTGCTGGCTTCTGTTTATATACACAGAGCTGCGACAAATAACGTTTACCCCTAACTGTTTCAGAAAATCACAGAGTTTTCACATCTTCCACTTTCACCCAGTAGGAAGGGGACTGTGTGCCACAGGAAGTCTGAACAATTTGCTATATATAGTTAATCATTGGTCTAAATGGTAGATTCTGAAATAGAGAAGGCTTTCAGTAGCTGCAGTGCACGGCCCACTTTATAACAACTCCACATGAGAGCAATGGTCTGGAGATACAGGTGTCAGTGGCGAAAAGCTTAAACAGCTGTGCTGCTGTGATAACAGGATGCAGCAGTCAGAGAAGTCACATCAAATCTCTCGTGCACTCTCTGGAAAAAGCAATGTTGTCCTTGAAAACCAGAAACCTGTAAACAATACTGTCATTTTTCTTAGTTCACTGAAGCAAAAACTTTACATGAAAATACCGTCACACTTTCTAATCCTTAATATCTCTTTTTTATTACCAAGAAATGTGGTGACATTTTACCTGATTAAAAAAAAAAGGAAAAAAGAACAAACTGTGAAAACTTAATTTTCCTCACTCTGCTTACTTTAGAAAATATTCACAGAGGACACATAACAAGATTGAATAATTCATACAAGTGATAACAAAATATGACCTCCAATCACATTCCCTGGATGCCATGCTTACTTTTCTTAGTCCTCACACAAACAGACAGGACAAACAGTTTCCATCGTATCTTCAGTCAGCTGCAGCAGACATTCCCAGTCACCAACTCATCAGCACATCAGCCTGTTGCACAAAATTTCTATCCTCAAACTTTCACCACTGATATTTACAGGATGTCTTTGATCAATATGTGAAATGGAAAAACTCATGCTGGATATCTATACTGATATGGGCTGGGTAATGTCTTAGGGATGAAGGGATGCCACACTGTTTGATGGAAATGAAAGTTATCAACCTACAGAGGGCTGAATTCAGAGAAAGACAGAAAATCAGAGTGAAAAAATGAAACATTGGGCTTGTTCATGCTACTGAAATTTTACTCAGTAGTTTGTATGTGTGCTTGTATACATGCCTGAAAACGTTGGGGCATTATCATAATGAGACGACAGATGGTGTCAAAGAGGATCTGCTTGCATATTTGAACCAGGGCATCACTGAGCTACTTGACAGCGCCAGATAGAAACTAAACTAAATGTCCAAGAGGTGCTCTGTTGGATTTATGTCAGGCAACATTCCAGTCCTGCCGATGTGTTAAGGACCTTCTAAAGCCTTGTCCAGGTCTCCAGAAGTAGCTGCCTGTCTCCTAGAATCTCCTCCAAGCACTTGAGACGGTGCTGGGAGATACAGCAAACCTACTGATAATGTATTTGCTGAAATTTTGTATTGTGGCACATGTTAATGTACCATCCCAGGAGTTGGGCTACCTGCACATCCTCTACTTAACTCACCAGATCAATATCCCAGAAGTTTAATAGACCTGTTGCTATGCTCTGATTTAAAAAGTGTTTCTTTCACACTGAGAACACTTCCAGCTGTGTTGCTTCCTGAATAGAAGTGCCCCTTAATGTTGAGACAGAACAAATTTGAGATGTGAATGTGATGCAAATCGCAGTTACATGAGTACTTCTTGAAGATTAATTTTACGAATAGCTTCAGTGGTTTGGTTTTGCTTGTACTCATCTGACAGATAAATTGTGTTAACATGTTTCTTATGTTGGAATGAGGCAAAGTTAGATTATTCAGTTTGTCAATAATTCACAGCACATTTAAAAATCACTACATACTGTAGCAGCCAATCGGAAAGCATGAAGACAAGGTATCACCACATTATGGCTCTAATATGAAAAGGTAAATTGTTCCAGTTTAGTGGAGCTTTAGTGCAATTTATTGTTTTAATTCATCCAGCCACACATATACGCAAAAAACAAGAGCTAATCCAAGTTCCTAACTTGATCATTTGTGAGAAAAGGTTCAAGGACACTATTGAAAAACGTAAATAAGGGCAACTGAAAGTTGAATACATCATCTTTTTACATTTAGAAATTTAAATTGAAACTATTTTTCTGTCACTGGCCCCATTTGTCATTTGCACCACTACTGCATGACTCTACGAATGACTGATGTCTAGCTAAATGAAACCAACGATTAAAAAGAAAAATCTCTTTCAGTTCACTTTCAATGCTCTTTTTCTTCCATGAAACCGACCGTGAACTACTACTGGTAACGTTTTTCAGCCGGTTGACTTTTTTTACTTGACTAAAGAAATGTGTGTTTAATTTGATTTCCTCTTCTCCTCGATATGAGTCACACATCAATTATCATTTACTGCTCTCCCTGTAGTTGAAGGTCATGACTTTGGAGTCCATGAAGTGGAGCTTTAAGTGTCTGTCTGCTCTTGTAACATTTATAGGATGGCAGCCAAATTACGAACAACCGTGTCTATCATCAGGAAGTGTCCTTATTTCTTCTTTACACAATCAGAAAGATTGTACTATCCGGAGCGTTGTCTCATCTTGGCTTTTCCAAATGGCTCCTCATAGATTGGCTTTTGGGTCGAAGCTATACTATGGGTATATGGATCTGTGGATATGTGGTATGGGATCTCCACTAAACTTTGTGGGGGGAAAAAGTCACAGCACTTAAAGGTAATGCTATTTGGATCACTATCATTCTATCCCCTGACTAAGTCATTGAAAGCCCACCGAAAGGCATATTTAAATAACTCCTTAATGCTACCGTATTTTCCGCACTATAAGGCGTGCTTAAAATCCTTTAGTTTTCTCAGAAATTGACAGTGCACCTTATAATTCGGTGCGCCTTATGTATGAATTCTGGTTGTGCTTACTGACCTCAACCTGTTTTTATGTGGTACACAGTGCTCAAAAATCGGTCAAAAAATGTTTAAGTACAACTTTGGTAAGCTACCAAGCCGCAACGCTTGATGGAT